ATTTTTCAGTATAGTTAGGTTTACCACCGGTGTCAACCCTTTGCCACCAGCCATAGTGACCCTCACCACCATTGGGACCACTGGGAGACTGCATATCTTTAGACGTTTGACTCGACTTCCAGGGCTCATCAATGGCTTCAAACATGTGAACCAACACCTTGTTTCTGTCCGCCCAGACACCCATTTGGGTCCAATAGTCTCTTAAATTTTTCACATTATTGGGCGAAGCATTAAAACTGATGCCTTGCGACGGCCAACCAGTCTCTCCAATCATAACCTCAATGTTTGCATTAATTTCTTTAAACTTTTGTCTATAACTAAGAAAAGCATTGCCGACCGCATCGACCGATTGCTGAGTACCGGCTTTGACCACATTATTGTCGGGATAGACATTACACATAATAAAGTCGGACTCTCTGACAATGTTGGCGAGGATGTCGTGCATGGCTCCCGACCCCTGAATCAAACCGCAGACATGTATTCTTGTGCCCACTTTCACATTCATCTGATGCGCTTTATTCTTATTACTGGTTATCATATTTAATATACGATTACCCGTCGCCTCAGACGTGAAATACTCATTAGTGAATATCAGACCCTTTACAGTGTTTCCGTATATGCCATTAGCATCCTATTAATGCATACAAAAATAGTTAGAATATCATGAAATTTAAAATTTATTTAGTATAGCTTAGTAGCTACTAGCTAGCTAATATAGTTTATTTAGTATATTTAGTATACAGTATAATCCTACAGTACCTGTGCGGCAGAAAATGCATTATTAATTTCCGTTTGTTGCAGAGTTTGGTCTTCATTTTGGTTAATTCCCTGCCATACTTGTAATGCCATTTGATTTTTGTTGTGGTTTATGGTAGCGGCCGCTCGAGACACCAGACAATTAGAGTCCGTTTGATCCCATTTATTGTGGACATTATAACCGGCAACTCCCATCCCATATGTCGCTAGACTCCTGAACCGACTGTTCACCACATTCAACATATCCACGATATCTTCGAGAGTATATGAGTTCCAATACGGAAGTGTCTGTCCCACCCAGTGCTTCGTATAGGGAGAGTAGGCCACCCCAACATAATCTCTGTTGAAGTTTTGACTGACAGTTGCCGATACCTTTTGTTAGGTTTAATGTTATATTAGTCTCTATTGTTTGGCAATCATTTGGCATTACTTACGGCTAATAGCAGTATAAGTGATTTACTTAACATAATATAAGGACTGAGAATATACTAAAATATGACAAACAATTGTATTAAAACTAATGACTAGAATATTAGTTTAATTTCCCTTTTATATGTATTTTCTAATGTGAATACAGATTTGTTCGACAGATGTTTGTTACCGATTATAGATAAAAATCTATTATTTATTTTTTGTTTGTCCTGTTTTGGAATTTCAGCTCATATTTCATAAATAATACAATGGTATCATTGTTTAAAGTTAAGCAAATATCCTTGCTATTATTTCCATTTATTATATAAATTTTATAATGTTGAAATCATACAATGCATTATAAACGTGATTATAAACGTCAGAGTTTTATTAAATAGTTTATAATAAACACATTTCACTTATTATGTTGATATATGAACAGGTATAAATTAAATCCGATTAAATCGATTAATATACAATTTGTACATTAATATTATATAAATATGAAATCTTTACGTAAATTGAATCGCATATCAAAGTCTATATAAATGTGAAATAAACATCTTAAATTATAATAATCTTAAAATTGTAGTGATTATAACTTTACAATAATATTCATTACTTTACTTTAAAATGACAATTATATGAGAGGAATATCTCTATCCATTGGTTGAGATCTGAGCAAAAATATGCAGACAATGCACAGCAACTGCACGATTGCCGCCTCTATTGTGATGTCTATTGTTATCTGAAGAGAATTGGAGACTTTGCTGACCATCTGATCAGTCGCTGCAATACATGACTCCTAATTAAAAACCAAATTTTCATAATTAAAACTCAATTTAATTGTATTGTAATGTGTATTACAAATACCAACCCTGTGTTGGACCTGTTGTTCATCACACCATTGGTTTTCTAAACCATACTTCACGTCATCCATACAACAAGACAAAGGATAGGCACCGATGGGTACTCTGATGGGTCTCAACGGTTCCCAACTCTGAGAGCCATTCAAAACTCCGCAACAATTGAATTGAATCTGCATTTCGTCGACCAGTCGTCATCCATACAACAAGACAAAGGATAGGCACCGATGGGTACTCTGATGGGTCTCAACGGTTCCCAACTCTGAGAGCCATTCAAAGCTCCGCAACAATTGAATTGAATCTGCATTTCGTCGACCAGTTCTCCACTCCTGTTGTTCATACCGTTCCACTCGTATTGAGACATCAGTGTTGAGAACTTGTCGATCGCATGGCTGGCATTCTGGCTAACCATCTATTGATACACATGAACTCAATTATAGATAAATTCTTGTTATACAATATATTATCAACAAAATTGTAATGGAAATTGTTATACATTTCGATAACTGATTGTTCCGATAATTATAGCAAATAACGTGAACACAAATAATCCAATTAATATAAAGCAAAACTAAAATCATGAGTAAAAAGTGCAAGTTATATTTAAGTAAATTTTTAAAATACATAAATAAATAATAGTTAAAACTCACGGCAATTAAAATACTCAATCGTTTTTTATAAATGGCTGTTAAACCGAATATAGAGTTAATAATTATGAGAGCGCCGGTCATTGCAAAGCATTTTCGTATTGTTTTGATATCCGGATTAAAGTCATAGAGAACTTTCAAAAGGCGTTCATTACATTTGAGTCCATATAAACTGAATACAGTTATCATAAAACCAAAAGCCTTTTTACGAGTCAATTAAATTATCAATCAATAAGAATATTTAGGGAATATTAACGTTATATTTACCAAAAATGAAAAATTAAATAATATTAATGAATACCGGACACATTTAAGTCTTTTTTGGTCCATTTGTTTAAAATATCTTTAAAAACAATATGAAAGACTTGACGGCTAATCAATTGAAGTACTTTATAAGACAACAAATTATAAAATTGTTTATCTGATGGCATATCTCATTTGGTTGTGTAGTAACAGTTATTTAGTTGCCATTCAAATTGTTTTTTATATAAAAACATCCTTTTCATAAGTTTATCAAAACTTTTATAAAAACATAATAAACCACACAAAATATTTTAAATTTCTATAAAAATCTAAACTAAATACTTACTGCTGATGATTAGTAAATATTTTGTGAAACAAAATATTTTTGACATAATTTTAAACTTTTCTATTTGTTTTGTAAATTGAGATGCGCTTCAATATTTTATTTATAAAATAAACAATTAATTGATTAGTTTTCTTAAATAAACACTTGGTTTATCTATTTTAATTACAAATTATACTAATGTACTGTATAGTCTTCAAATTATTAATTTTAATTATGTTTAAAATTTAAATAATTTCATTTACAATAATATTATACTGTATTTGATTTAACATTGAACTTTATAATAAATTACTTATTTTAATTAGTATCTTATAGTATTTTAGCATTTATAATATAATTAATTTATATTATAAATAGCTATATTAAATCATTATACTATTGATAAAAAATGATAACTGTATTTG